ACACACACACACACACACACACACACACACACACACACACACACACACATACACGAAGCCTGGAGCAAGCATTCCGAGCAGACATTGACTCTTAGAACACAATCAAACGGACAGATCCAGTGTAAAAAGGGGAGGTAAGAGGATTTGCCCGAGGACATTCGACTTACAAAGGTGTTCGGACCAATCTGCTTTGCCGGGCACCATTCGATAAGACCCTCTAAATCAGTTTCTCTTTACTACTAGTGCTTCCCCAGGCGTCGTTCATATTATCTCCCCAGCTTTACTACACACGTAAGTCCCTCTTTCGCCCCCACAAAAAACAACAACAACCCACGAACAAAAAAAAACAAAAAACCCAACAAGATATTTAAAAAAAAACTACAACCCCCCCCCCTCCTCCCCACCTTTCCCCCTAAAACAAACCAAACGCTCAAGAGCAATACAAAACCCATGAGAACTGTACATGATAAAAAATACTGACAATGGTTTCTTTGAAGCAATGTTTAAAAATGAAGAAAAAACAAAAACAAAAACAAAACAAAACAAAACACACACAAAAAAAACAGGGCGTGGGTTTGTCTTTGGGTCAATAAACAATCAAAAAGTTCATTCTACATGTCGTATCACAAGAAAATGAGACATATTTGTCAATAATTTTTTTTAACGTTTGCGAATCTGTTATTGAGATATGATAGACCTAACAAGATAAACGGAATTCGGACATCAGAGGAGATCAAAGTCGTGTGTTTTTCTTTGTACTGTAACTGAGGCAAACAGACACGGAGAGTTGGAGCATGTTAAAAACAAAAAAGCCCAAAACAAAACAAAACACCCCCCTACCGAAAAAAAAGCAAAAAGCAAATCCAAAAACAGAAGTCATTTTTTTTACCCGAGCCACACAAACTTGAATGGAATTCAAAGTTCGCTAAAAAAAAAACCCAATAACAATTAAAAATGGATTTCTTGAGGGCCATGTGAAGGCCATGCGAAAGGAAAATGTTGCAGACAGACAGACAGACAGACAGACAGAGGTACTCACCGACAAGATACCCGTACCTCACAGGTCGGAGGGTACAAAGAGGCCTGAAAGTCGAAGTCGCAAGGTACAAGAAAAGTACTTGAATCTGCAAGAAGTTCTAAAGGGTTGAAAATGGTGCTCTGGACAGCCAGTATCCATCGTTAAAGATAAGACCCGTGAAGGTAATAAATGTTGCCCTGAAGGGGAAACGAGGACACGTGAACTGAGAAAGGAATACTCCGGGGAAATCCTTAGTCAATTCAATACCAGAATCCGTAAGTGGAGGGGGAGTTCGGACAGGTCATGAGAGTACATTAGGGGTATCAGTGGCTGGGTGAGCGAGTGAGTGCGTGAGTGAGTGAGTGAGTGAGTGAGTGAGTGAGTGAGTGAGTGAGTGAGTGTGTGTGTGTGTGTGTGTGTGTGTGTGTGTGT